TTCCTGCACACTGGAATGGTTTAAGGCTCTGTATGAGAATCATACAGCACAGGACAGCAGATGGATTGAATGCTATGTGACCTGATTGGGGCAAGGCTAATTATGTAATTAAGATATTGAAATAGGAGCTTGAATACTCGAGTGCTATACCAGGAAGTTCCAGCATCAGGATGCTGAGCCTTCAGCTTGCTGTGCACCCAACTGTCTGTGGGGAGCTGGCACTCGGAGCGGTCCTCAGGCACAGTGTTTGTAACAAACTGCATTAGTGCTGTGTGTGATTTCCTGCATGTGTGCACCTTGGGTGAAGGGTGAGCACTTGGATAAAGCTGCAAAGGAAATGTGCTGCCTATCCCTTGTGTGTTATGTTTAGGTTAGGGGTTGACATTTTTTGGAATGGAGGACAGAAGGTGTGGTTCATTGTTTTAATGCTTTACCAAGGGTCCTACCATTGTGTTGCTTCAAGATTTAGGATTTAGGATTTGATACACATTCAGCTTTAGACAACTGGTGTTCTGACCTCAGCATCCAACTCCGCGGTGCGCCGATTCACAGCAGGTGCTGCCCTGGCTCATTGGGTACGAAGTGATGCCAGCGCACCCAGCTCTGCGTGCCCTGCGCCCAGGATCCACGTGGCAGCTCTGCACTCCCATTCCTTCCCCCCCCACTGCGAGGCTGAAGGCCTCCTGTAGCCCAAACCACATGTGGCCGTGGCTGTCCCACTTCCCCACTTTGTTTATAGTTGTTCCAGATGTGCTGCACTTGGCCGCAGCCCCAGTGACGTGGGGATACAGCCATCTCCTGCTGCCTTGCACGCAGCTGTGACTCACAGGTGAGCGTGGCACCACTGTGAGAGCCCCCATTTGTTCCTATATCTGTCCCCGTGGGTGCAGAACTCCTGCCCTCTGCCTTCCCTGCCTGTGGGGCTGAGGGTCCTCGCGTGCGCCGTGTGGCCGCTGGCCCCGTGCCAAGGTGGTGACGCAGCCCTCCTGCTCACGGAGATATGGAGTCATCCCGGATGGGTCCGCGCAGGGGATGAGTTCCCATGGTGACAGACAGCGATGCACCCTGGCGGGGCAGGGCGGATGTTTGGTCCTTTTTATTCTTTTCTTCTGGAGATGGGCGCCCAGCCAAAGAGCTGAAGGAGCAATGGCACAGCCTCTCAGGGGAGAGCAGCGAGGACAAGTCTGGTCTCGTGTGCTGCGCAAATCCTTCTGCAACACAGATCCCTGTGTCCACAACAGGGCTGCTCCCATCCCTCTGCAGCCTCTATTCCTCAGCCATGGGATGTCCCAGCAGAGCGCTGCCCAGAGTTTTATCCTTCCCATACACCATGCATGCTGCAGGCAGCTTTAAACAGAGGTGCTGCTGGGAACCCGGTGTTGCTAACTGGTGTAAGAAGTATGGATGCACAGTGTCATCCTGCAGGTAAAGCAGTGTGCGCCATTATTCATGTGCCTTGACCCAAGGTGTGCATAGGGAGGTCTTCTCACACACCCCTGTGCAGCACTGTGTGATGGGGACTCTGTGAGCGCTGCTGGAACTCCCCTGGAGCCACAGGCCCCTTCTAGAGGGGTGTGGGTGTGGGTTGTGAAACACTCTAATAGAGGCAGGGAGGAAGCATTGAGCAATCACCCCAACCTCCTGGCACTGGGATTTGCAGCCCAGGCTGGAAATAAGGGAGATTGGTACAGGGCTATACGAAGGGGGGGGGGGCCCCCCCCCAAGGGTATAGGGCTGTGACAGCTGAGCTGAGCAACCTCTCTTACATACCTGCAGAGCTGGGCCCAAGCAGTGGTCACCTCTGCTGTTGTCTGAAGGAAGAACAAACCCTCAGAGCCCTATAAAGCTGTGCACCAGATCACCCCGGTGTGCGCCTGCGGAGCCCACGGGCAGGGCAGGGCAGGGAGCTCAGTGATCGCAGCTGTACCGACGTGCCCCCAGGGCGGGTGCTTTGCTGCTGCAAAGCAGCAGCAGATAGAGACTTGTGCCAGGATCCATGGGGTGAGCACAGGGAAAGGCAGCACCAACCCCACATAGAATGCAGGGGTAGCTTTGCTGCTCCCCATCCCTTGTGCTTCCATCCATCCCCACGAGCAAGCTGGGTTCCCTCTGCACAGCCGTATCCTGCTGTGGGTGGGGGCAGCGGGGCTGGGAGCAGAGGGACACAGCCCGTGCTCAGGACCGTGGAGCTGAATTTCTGCAGGATGAACCGGGCTGTGTGGGCAGTCCCCTGCAGCTGGGGCACTACAGCCCCTCCCTACTGTCCCCCTCTGCTGTCCCAGAGCCTGACTGAGGCTTCTCGATTCTATCATGCTGGGATGGCCATGAACCAGCAGCGAGAGCATCCCTCTGGGCAGAGAAGGGCTTTCAGCTTGAGGTTTTGCCCTGCTGCTCCGTGGCTTCGTGACATGGGGTGCCACGAGGTGCCTCCCCCAGCACACAGAAGCCATGCCAAGCTTTGCCGGGACAGCCGGCGGCGGCTGCTGATGGGAGACATTCCTGGAGCTTGTCCCAACCGGCCCCGCTGCGGGCGGCCCCCCCAGTCCCTCCTCCCCTCGTAGCACCAGCCCCCAGCTGTCCCAGCCCCATGCGCTCAGCACAGTGGCAGAGCTGAACCCCTACCAGCTCACGATGGAGTGGAAGCCGCCCCCTCCCTCTCTGCCTGCCCTTGCTGGAGATGCCAGGCAGGGATCTCTGCAGCCTGCGAATCCCTACAGCCTTGCTGTGGGGAAGGAGCGAGAGCCGCCACACCGCATGCATGCGCACACACACAGGCTTTGCTGCCAGACTGCAAAGGAATCCCATCCGGAATCCCATCCAGGCTTCGCTGCTCCCCGCTCGTAGCACAGCGGAGCTGATGGCAGCGCTCTGGTGCAAAGCAGTGCAGATCTGCAGCCCAAAGCCCCGCTCCAGCTGTGCCGCGTGACTCACTGCTCGGCATGATGCGGGGTTGGAAATGCACCCCAGGCTGCAGAAAGCAGCTTTTCCCTCCCTTCCCATTAAGCCGGCGGTGAGGGCGTCTGCCAGGCACGCGCAAGGCAGGGAGAGGCTCAGCCCTGGTGCTTTGCGTGTGCCTGTGCTCAGCAGAGCGAGGGGCTGCAGGGCGAGGGGCTGGGGCTAAGAGAAGGGTTAGAGTTAGGGTTAGGATCAGGTTTGCACGCTTTGATCAATGCCATCAGGAGGACCACGTGCTCCCTTGGGGCCAATCCAGCCAGGAGATGGGGAACCCCAGCCTTAGACTGCAGGAACCAGCACTGGCTGCTGGTCCTTGAGGGTTGGGAAAGGACAGACAGCAGCTTTGAGGATGTTCCAGTGGGATTGGGGACGCTGTTGTTGCAGGGCACGGGCCTGGGGCTGCAGGGACAAAGGGTGGATGGAAGAGTAGAAGGAGTGTTTAGGAATTAAAGCTGGGGGTTGAGGGAATGCCTGCAGTGGGGTTCTCTGGTGGGAATAGGGCTGCCGCTCCCCCACAGTGTGACTCACACACACCTGGTGCTTCCCCTCCGCAGGCGCAGATTCCTTCCCCAGTCGAGGTATGCGGGGGAGCCTGGAAGCACCAGCAGTCCCTTGTGCTGCAGAGGAGGGCTTGCAGCTTTTAGGGTTCCCTGCATACCCTGCATAGGGATGCTACTGCAAGGCTCTCCCCATGGCCACTGCCCCTTGCCAGGTTTGGCTATGCTGCCGGGCCCAGGGCAGTTGCAGAGCATCACTGTGTGCCCAGTTCTGCCCGTGCACCGGTGACCCTGAGCTGCTCCGCCAGCGCCAGGCCCAGGGCCAGCGGCAGAACCCTTGGCAGACCCCTCCACTCTCTGATTAATGAAGCCCCTGTCTAATTGGGACAGGCCATCTTGTCTTCATTAAGCAAACTGTGGTGGGAGGAGGGCTTATGGATGGCCCTGACCTGGGGTCAGGCCCACGGCCATGGGGCAGTTGGAAGACACCTGTGGCCATAGTGACCTTTGAAGCAGATTTAGGGGCCTCACAAGGGTTGGCTGCAGAGAGGATGGGGATGATCTGCTCATGTTGCCTGTAAGAGACTCCACTCCTTCCCTGCTCAGAACAGTTTGCTCCTGGGAAAGCTGCCTGCAGCTGCCTCGAGCATCCCTGCTTGGTGGCAGGTAGCCCTGCTGGGACCCCTAGATGTGAGGTGACCCCTCACCGTCTCCCTGGTGCCCACGGAAAGATGCCCCTGGAACCATGCAGGCACTTGAAGGGGAGACTCTAGGCTGTTGTCCTCACATGAGGCCACAAGGGTACAACTACACAGGGTGCTGAGAAACAGGGAGGTGGCATGGGACATACTCGTGCCCATCAGCATGGGTCAACCCAATGGGAACAAGCAGGCTGGAGGATGGAGCACCCTGCTGACCACACATGGCCCTGCCATAGGTGGGAGGCACCCGGGTGTCCCCCAGCTCACCACCTTGCTGAGCATCCTCTCCTGCAGTCACCCCAGCTGCAGTTCTCTGTCTTTGGGACAGTTCTCAGTCACTGCTTCCTCCACACTTGGCACCAAGAGGTGATGCCCAGGACAGGAGGGATCCCACAGCCTCTGCCCCCTGCCGCATGGGGGCACAGGAACCGCCCTAGCACCAGCTGGGATGGAGACGCTGGAAGGAAAAGGTTCCATGGCTCAAGGGGACCCTTTTGGCTCGGCACTGAGGCCTCTTTTGGAACTCGCAGAGAAAACCCCCCGGGGGTCTGACTCGGTCCCGGTCCCGGTCCCGATCCCGGCGTGGAGGGCTCTTCTCTCTCCTTCACGGACATTTTGGGGTGAAAAGCGGGAAAAAACGCATCTTCCTGCCCTGATCCCGCCCTCCCATGGGAGCGGGTGGGAAAAGCCCTTTGGGGTGGGGAATGGGGGGGGAGGCGGGACAGGGCGGGAGCCGCGGCACTGCCCCCCCGGCGGCAGCACCGCCGAGCTCCGGGCCGCCCTGATTAAAGGGGCGGGAGCGCCGGGGGCCGCCTGGGCACGGCACGGCTCGGCACGGCTCGGCACGGCTCGGCTCGGGGCGGCCCCACGCGGGACGAGGTGGGTGGCGAAGCCGCGCGCTCCGGGAGCGGCCCCCCCCGTGCTCTCAGCCCGGGTGGGAGACAGCGGAGGGAGGCGGGGGGGGGTTCCCACGCCGCCGCGCTCGGGCATCCGTGGGTCACCGCCTTCGCTTTGGACTCGGCCGGGCCGTGCTGGGGCTGGCACACGGGGCGGGCGGGGTGCTGTGCCCGGGCACGGGGCCGGATCCTCCCCGCAGCTCCGCGCCCGAGTGCGGGAAGCGGCGCCGGGCGGGTGTGCTCGTGGGAAGCTACTGCCCTTCCCGTCCCCACGGGATCGTGCCCTTCCTGGAGCCCTCACTCGTGCCACCCCTCTGCATGTAGGGCAGGAGCGCTGGGGTGAGCGTGGGGCGGGCAGGAGGAGGAAGCAGTACAGTGGGGGGGCACGGCTGGCATGCAGGCTGGCAGCCTCCTGTACTGCCCTTCTGTCCTGAGCACTGGGCATCAGTGGGGTCACAGCTGGGCTGGGTGCGATGGGGAGGGACGGAGTGGAATTGGGTGCTGGGCACGTGGCTCTCTGTGCTGGGACTTTCCACCTAGCTCTGCTTTCTCAGACCCAGTGCAGTACTCTGGACACAGCAGGGAACCCAAATGCACGGGTACCACTGCGGTGCAGCCCAGCCATGCCCACATCCTGCAGTGAGCAGCTCTGCGGGTTATCCGTCTTTACTTTTTTGTTTTCATGTTATGGCGTTTCACTCCTTTTAATTGCTTCTACCCAGTGCATCCATCACCACCGTGCCCAGAGGCGTGGGGTTGGCACAGGGTGGTGGCTGCAGCATCCTCTCCTGCTGTCCTGCAGGGCCCCACAATGAGTGGGAGGCTCTTACTCCTCTCCCTGCTCCTGGCCCCCCAGGCTGCTGCCGCACAGAAGAGGAGCCAAGGTGGGTGCTGAGTGCTGGGTACCATTATAGGGCCTACAGCGGGGTGAGAGGGGCTCTTCTGCTCCTTCCCACTGCAGCACCCCAAACTTGAGCTTGAGCACGGGGAGCCCTATGGGAGTGGCCACCAATGTGACGTGAGCTCAAGGAGAAGGGACAGGTCTGGGGGTCCTGTGCCACAGGGCACCAGGGGCTCTTGTGGATGCCAACCAATGCTGTCCCATAGCGGTGTGCGAGAACGTGCTGGAGGCTGACATCGTCTTCCTGGTGGACGGCTCATCCAGCATTGGCCGGAACAACTTCCGTGCCATCCGCACCTTCGTGGAGGACCTGGTGTCACCCTTTGTGCATGTGGTGGGCCAGAAGGCGGTGCGCTTCGCCGTGGTGCAGTACAGCGACGATCCACGGTGAGCCCCGGGGATGGGTATGCGGGGCTCACCGTGGGACCGTGGGGCTGGAAAATTATGTGTCCCCATGTGTCCCGATGTCCCCAGGGTGGAGTTTGGCTTCTCCCAGCACACCAATGGCACAGGCATCCAGAGGGCCATCCAGCAGCTGAGCTACAAGGGCGGCAACACACGGACCGGCGCTGGGCTGCGCTACGTCTCTGACAACTTCTTTGGTCCCACACAGCTCCGGCCTGGAGTCCCAAAGGTATGGGGTGGGGAGTTGCATTTGGGACATCCCAGAGGGATGCAGTGGGTCCATGGGGCTGAGGCTCATGGCTCTGCAGATCTGCATCCTCATCACGGATGGCAAGTCCCAGGATGATGCTGAGCAGCCGGCGCTGAGGCTGAAGAGCCTGGGCATCAAGGTCTTTGCTGTTGGTGAGCAGATCCGCGGTGTGCACATTGGTATCCACACCCCTGAGTAATGGGCTCCCCCTGGGGCTGGGCACTGCCATCACCCACCATTCCTGTCCCCTTCAGGGATCAAGAATGCCGACCGCCAGGAGCTGATCCGCGTGGCCTCACTGCCTACTGACTCCTTCTTCTTCTATGTGGGTGACTTCAAGCTGCTGGGGACACTGGTGCCACTGATGACACGCAGGGTGTGCACAAGCTCAGGGGGCACGCTACGCACCCCTGGTAGGAGACCTTTAAAAGAGGGCGTGGGAGCTGCCTTAATACCTTCTCCTCACGCACCCCAGAGCTGACAGCTCCATGTCCCCCCACAGATGGATCAGGCCACGCTGGTCCCTCCAACCTGGAGGTCCTGGAGCATGGCTCCGATGTGCTGCGCATCCGCTGGAGCCCGGCCAGCGGCCCCGTCACCGGCTATAGGGTGCAGCGTGTCCCACTGACGGGGCTGGGGCAGCCGCTGGCAGCTGAGCGGCAGGAGGTGAGCGCTGCCCTGCGCCCACTTGCAGTGCCTGGTGCCCGCCAGCATCGGGATGACACTGCTCCCACCCAGGTGAGCGTGGGTCCGCGGGAGACAAGCACCGTGCTGCGGGGGCTGCGCGCAGGGACGGAGTACCTGGTGACTGTCATCGCTCAGTATGCCAACAGCGTCAGCGAGTCGGTGTCTGTGCGGGCGCGCACCCGTGAGTACCCGTGGGGGATGCGGGTAGGTGCTGGCAGCACGTAGCTCACACTTGTCCCCGTGCTGTCCCCAGAGAGCCGTGGCGGCGTGCAGCATTTCCACGTGGCTGAGGCTGGGCCGACCTTCCTGAGGCTGTCCTGGCAGCCCGGCCCCGAGCCGCCCCAGGGCTACATCCTCAGCTACGCCGTGCCAGGTGAGGGGACATGCCGTGCCCCACAGGCACCTCTTTGGGGTAGCTGCGTGTGCTACAGCACCTGGCGGCCCCTCCCTGTCCCTGGGCGCTGCCCTGGCCCCCGTCCCAGCCTCACCCCGCGCTCCCCACCCCTGGCACCGCCTGGCATCCCCGGGGCAGGGAGCTGCGCACACCCCTTCCCTGCCACACACCTGCCCTCGCCCCTCTGGGTCCCCCCCAGGAATGCCCCAGAGTGAAGAGAGGAGCCTGGGGGCTGGCGCGCTGTCGGCCACGCTCAGCAACCTGCGTCCCAACACCGAGTACGTGGTGACGCTGCGGGCACGCTATGCACAGCAGCCTGCAGCCACCGCCAGTCTCACCGCGCGGACACGTAAGCACCACGCAGCTGTCCCCATGCAGGGGCATCACCTGTGGGGGGACAAGGAGATGGGATGGCACAACCTATGGGTCCCTTTTGCAGAGGCAGGCACAGAGCAGACGCTGCGGACCAACATCCTGAGCCCCACGTCCATTCAGGTGCTCTGGACTGCCATCCGTGAGGCCCGTGGCTACCGCCTGGAGTGGAAAAGAGCCACAGGTGGGCTCACAGCACCTGGTCCCTGACGTGGCATGGGGCCAGCGGCAACTCCTTTTGACATTGCCATTCCCACAGGGCTGGAGACCCCCAGGACAGTGTCGCTGCCCAGCAGTGCCAGCACCTACCAGCTGACAGGGCTGCAGCCAGGCACTGAGTACCGCATCACTCTGTACACGCTGTATGAAGGTGGGGAGGTGGCCACCCCCGTCACCACCTTCCAGACAGGTGAGCCCAGATCAAGACATGATGCATGGCATCACTGCAACAGAGCCATGGGACCTCCGGCTCGCTGGTCCTAGCTTTGGAGAAAGTTACAGCATTGCCCCCCTGCAGGTGTGGAGGTACCAGTGGGCGCGGTGTCAGATCTCCGTCTCATCGAGGATTTGGGCAGGAGGGTGCGGCTGGGCTGGACTGGCATCCCCGGTGCCACCGAGTACAAAGTGACAGTGCGCAACACCCAGGGTGAGCCAGCGGGATGGGGCCACGGTGCCATCGCTTGGCATCCCCTGTGGCACTGAGGGCCCTGTGGCACCCTGCTCCCTGCAGACGGCACCGAGAGGACGAGGCGCATCCCAGGCACGCAGACAGTGCTGGAGCTGGGTGACCTGCGGGAAGGCGTCACCTACCTGGTGCGCGTCTCAGCCCTCGTGGGCAGCCGGGAGGGCAGTGCTGCTGCACTCAGCATCCACGTCAGTAAGTGCGCATGGTTAGCCCCAGCCCTGGCTTGCGGTGGCCACTCGGGGTGTCCCCATGCTGATGTCCTGGTGCCATTGGGCGTGCAGAGTTCCCAGCTGTGGGCAGTGTCTCGGAGCTGCGGGTGACGGAGGCCGGCCCCAACCAGCTGCGGGTCACGTGGAGGGGGCTGTCGGGCGCCGGGGGGTACCGGCTGACGTGGAGGGCCGGCGATGGTGAGTGCAGGACTTGGAGGTGATGTGGTGGTGCCATGGGAGCTCTTCCCATCTCAACTGTCTCTCCCAGGTCAGGAGCAGTCCCGCTTCCTCCCTGCCAACCCCACTGTCTACACCATTGAGGGGCTGCGAGCTGGCACCGTTTATGCCATCGGTGTCACAGCCATCATTGATGGCCGCGAGGGTCCCCCTGTCACCACCATGGGGAGGACAGGTGAGGTGTGACCTTGCCTGCTGCTGCCAGCTGGTGCCAGGTGCCCTGACTGCAGGTGATGTTGGTTCTCCCTGTGTCACAGCAGCTGAGCAGGTGGGGACAGTATCCCGGCTGGAGGTGCAGTCATCCAGGAGCAATGTTGCCCGTGTCACATGGGTCGGTGTGCCAGGAGCCACAGCGTACCGTGTGGTGTGGAGCCGTCGGGACGGTAGCATGGGATGGGGACAAGGGTGGGGACAGCAATGATGGAGGCACCAGGGCTGATGTGTGGCCCTCGGCAGGGGGCTCGGAGAAGAGCCAGCATGTTCCCGGCCACATCAGCTCCTTTGACATCCCCGACCTGGAGGGAGGTGTCTCCTACACTGTGAAGGTCACAGCGCTCATAGGCAACCATGAGGGCAACCCTGTGTCCATCATCGTTACCACCCGTGAGCATGGGGCTAGGGGACAGCACATGGGGGGAGTGGGCACCTCTGCCCTAATCCCTGCCCATATCCCCCACAGCGGAGGCGGCCCCCGTGCCCCCTGTTAGCAACTTGCAGGTGATGGAGGCCTCGGAGAATCGCCTGCGCCTCTCATGGGTGCCGGTGTCTGGCAGCAGCGGGTACCGCCTGGTCTGGCGCCCAGCTGAGGGTGAGTGTGCCCAAGCCCTGTGTTCCAGTGGCAGCCCCCGGCCCCTCACCTCTCTGTCCCCACCAGGTGGTCCCCAGCGCAGCCAGCAGCTTCCAGCCACCGCCAGCTCCTATGATCTGGGAGGGCTGGAACCGGGCCGGCGCTACCACATCAGCATCACCAGCATGGTAGGCAGCCGGGAGAGCGCACCGGTTGCCGTCACCACTGCCACCGGTAAGGAATGTGTGGTGCTGTGGGGAGGTTGGGATGGAGGAGAGTGATGAGTGTGGGAGTGGGTTGGGGGCTGCCCTGTGGGCTGGAGCACCCTATTTCCCTTCAGCAGCGTCTCCAAGCCATGCCACCAGCCTGCGAGTGACGGAGGTGCAGAGAGACTCTGTGACGCTCTCCTGGACCCCTGTCCCTGGTGCTTCTGAATACGTCCTGTCCTGGACCCCCCCTGCAGGTGAGGCAGACACATGTCCCTGGGCGGAGGGCAGCTATCCCCAGGGATTTCACTGTCCCTGTCCCCCTGACTGTGGGTACAGCGGGCGGCGAGGCACGGCGCGTGGTGCCGGGCACTGCCAGCTCCCTACAGATCCCTGGGCTGCGCCTGGGCCAGCGCTACACCTTCACCATCCGCCCGCTTCTGGGGAGCACACCTGGTGCTGAGAGCTCCGTCAGTGAGCGGCCAGGTATGCAGGTTGGGATGGGTGTTGGAGGGGCTGGGGTGCTCATGTTTCTGCTCCACCTTGCCTCTTCCCTCAGTCTGCAGGGACGCCCGAGGGGACATCGTCTTCCTGGTGCATGGCACACGTGACAGCTCTTCTGGTGCTGATGCTGTCCGTACGCTCCTCTCTAACACTGTCACCTCCATGGGCCGCCTGGGCCCCGATGGCACCCAGGTATGATGCTTACGTGGTGTCAGGGGGCATGTGAGGAGGATGGCAATGTCGACCTCTGTCCCTTGCCCTCGCAGGTGGGTCTGGCCACGTACAGTTACCGCAGCCTGCCCTGGCTGCTCCTCAACCGCTCCAGTGAGCTGCCCGCCGTGCTGGAGCAAATCCGCACCATGCGCTACGAGGAGCCCAGCGGCAATGCCATTGGTGAGGGGATGTGCTAGGGCTGGGCCAGTGGCCAGTGGGACCTTGCTGACCCCCCCATCCTTTTATCCTCCCTCCAGGGGCAGCCATCACCTTTGCTAGGACCTATCTGCTGAGCCCTGGCGCAGGACGGCGGCCCAGTGTGCCAGCGGTGCTGGTGGTGCTGGCTGACGGCCCCTCTGGGGACGATGCCATCACTGCTGCCAGGGATGCCAAGGCAGCGGGTGAGGTTGGATAGGGTCCCTGTGGGACGGGGTCCTCGTGGGATGAGGTCCCCTTTGGTGCTCCAGCCAGGTACTGAAGGTGCTGTTGGTGCAGGGGTCCGAGTGCTGGCTGTGGGCTTGGAGGGGGCAGACCAGGAGCAGCTCCGGCGCATGGTCAGTGGTGAGGATCCACGCTTCGTCTTCCGCAACCGTGGTGCCCTGTCAGAGCTGGAGGGAGAGCTCACCGATGACCTCTGTACCATCATCTCCACCAGGGTGAGAGACTGGGGGATGCCCAGGGCTGGGGAGCAGACCCCATGCAGCCAAAGTCTTCCTCTCTCACAATTACGTGTCTTCCTCTTGTCTCACCAGCCAGAGCCAGAGCCAAAGCCCTGCACTGTGCAGTGCCCCAGGGTGAGTGAGTATTCCTGTGGCATGGGGTCTCAGTGTGAGTTCTCCACCTTACCCACGGTGTGGGGCTGAGCTGGGGGCAGCTACTGCAGAGGGGTGCAGCCTCTCAGCTCTTCTCTCTGTCCCCTTGCAGGGAGAGAAGGGAGACCCTGGCGTGGCAGTAAGTGTTTGAGACCCCCTACAGCTGTGGGTTATGGCAGGGCTGCCATACTTGCAGCAGTTCTCAGTGAATGCTGATGGCTGGCTTTGTCTCTGCAGGGGCCACAGGGGCGTGTGGGGCAGCCGGGCCCCCCTGGAGAACCGGTAAAGTCCTGATGCGTAGTGTGGGGGGAAATGGGGAGCATTGCTACAGCCCCTGTGTCCCTTTGTCCTCCTGCTGAGTGGGTGTCGGGAAGGGATCCATACAGCCCTTACCACAGTGGTGGATGGAGGAAACATCCTTTGGCTCCTGCCTGCCACCAAGTCTGTGCTCTTTGCTGTCTCAGGGCCGCCATGGACTGCCTGGCCCTCCAGGACCTGTGGGACCACGAGGGCCACCAGGAGAGAGCGTTGAGCAGCTGGGCAAGAAGGGGGATAGGGTGAGTGCCCCCTGTATCTGCACATCTTGGAGTTCCAGGCACAGGGACCTCCCAGCCACAGTGGGAGAGGGGGGACCTGGGAGGAGTATGGCCCTGACGTGATGCTCCTCTCTCCTGCAGGGCTTCCCTGGAGCTGATGGGCGGCCAGGGCTTCCTGGCCCCCCCGGGAACCCTGGGACCCCTGGCCAGCCGGTGAGTGTGCATGTACCCATGGTTGGCTGGTGCTGATCAAACCTCGACCAGTGGGCTCTATACATCCATCAGCCTACTTTGCCTGCTCCCTAAGCTCTCTTCCTATCCATTCCCTGTGCTAGGGTGGTCTCCCTTGTTGGTGGGATCATTGCTGTCTCCATCCCATCCCATCCCATCCCATCCCATCCCATCCCATCCCATCCCATCCCATCCTATCCCATCCCATCCCAACCCATGCTATCCCATCTCATCCATGTCATGCCATCCCTACTTCCCTGGCTGGCAGGGACAATGCTTTCACCTTTTGTTCTTCTGTTTTCTAGGGCAACCAGGGCATTCCTGGCCCCCGAGGGGACCCTGTGAGTATGACCCCCCTCCTCCCAAGCCCCATGCCTCCAAAGGCCCCATTCTCACTGTTATTCATTTCCAGGGGCCACGAGGAACAGCGGGGCATCCTGGCCCGAAGGGGGAAAAAGGCGAGCCGGTAGGTGCTGAGCAGAGGGCTACAGGTGGACATCTTATTCCTACTGCCTCCTAAGCTTGGCACTGGGGAGAGTCATGGCAAGGAACATGGTGGCACTGATTTTCTTTTTTTTTTTTTTTTTTTTAATTATTTTTCCCCTCATTCAGGGAGAGCCCAGAGTGATCGTGGATGGAGGACAGGGGTTGCCAGGACGGAAAGGGGAGCCAGGCACACCGGTATAGACGGGGCTGTGCATGCTGGGGGTGTCCACCAGTACTTTCTGCCCATGCAGCATCCCATACTCATAGAGCATCTCTTTCTTCCAGGGTAGCACTGGCCCCCCTGGCAACCCTGGCCCACGAGGTCCCTTTGGTGACCCAGGTCCTCCGGGTCCCCTTGGGCCAATGGGGCTACCAGGACCTCCAGGAGACTCTGTGAAGGTACGTTTCAGCTGGTGCTGTGTGGGGATGGAGGGACAGCTGGCACCTTGAAGCTGCTTTCCATGCAGAGCTCCTGGTCCTGCATGGCTGTCTTCATTGTCTATGACTCCCACATCATCCATCCTTATAATGAGCATGGCACATGCCCTGACCCTACTGCTGATGTGCTCTGCCCGTCATTGCCCCCATCATTTGAGGGGGGAGAGGGTGGAGGCATGAACAGAGCCCAGCCCCACCCTTACCTGCTCTCTTTACCTTGCAGGGGGAGAAGGGTGATCGAGGGGAGAGGGTAAGTGACCGTGTTTGCCTGGTACCTCTGCCTCCCGGGGCACTAGAAAGGGCTGAGTTATGGGGCTGCCATGCAGAAGCTCAGCCCTCTTTCCACAGGGTCCCCCTGGACTGGTCGATGGGGCAGTGCCTCGAGGGGAGCCGGGCCCCCCGGTGAGTGCTGGGCTCAGGGTGGGAGAGCAGGGCTGTGAGTCCCCCCAGAGGCTGAGCTGTGCCCTTGCCAATCTCTTCCAGGGTCCACCCGGGGAGCCCGGCCCACGGGGACTTGCTGGTACTCCCGGCCCCAAGGGTGAGAAGGTAAGAGGGAGGCAGGACCCCCCTTGTTCTGTGATGGGGACAGATAGCCCCAATTCATGGACATACTGTTGGCTTCTTCACTTCACAGGGTGACGGTGAGGAGGGATTCCCAGGGCCACCTGGACGTCCAGGGGACCCTGGAGACCGGGTGAGTGTCGTGGACAAGGCAGGGTGGGCAGAGCATTAACCCTGCTTGGGAGATGACATCTCTCTGCCTTCCTCTCCAGGGTCCACGGGGACCTCCAGGAGAACAAGGCAGGAAGGTGAGTGGTGAGGGGATGCTCTCATGATGCACCCCAATCCCCCAACTCCTCTGTGGAGAGAAAAGGGATGTGGGTGCTGTGCACCCCCTGTGCCAGCCACCAACACCATCTATCTTCCTCCTGCACCAGGGAGAGCGTGGGGCACCAGGCGAGCTGGGGGAGACGGGCCAGAAGGTGAGGTGGTAGTGGTGTGTGGTTGGGCACTTTGATGGCTTCTGGTGGCCCTGGGGTCCAACGTGGCATTGTGCCCCTGGGAGGCTGTCGGGGGTCTTGAGTAGGACCATGGGCTCACCATGGGGTCCTAGGGGTGGGAGGGTGGCTGTCTGAGATTCTCCTCTGCTTCCCTCTGCAGGGAGACCGCGGTGCGCCTGGCCCCGAGGGTGAAAAGGTAGGTGGGCACCCGTGGCCATGGTCATGCCCTTCCTAGGAGCACCTTCCTCTTCCTCTTCCTCTCCTCCTCCAGGGTGAGACAGGAGCTCCAGGACGGCCAGGGCCATCGGGCAGAGAGGTGAGCATGGGCACCCAGAGCACTGTGGGGTGGCTGTGACACAGACATATGTCCCCAGGCACTGCCAACCTCTGAGTATCCTCTCTCTGCACCAGGGAGTACCGGGACCAGCTGGGCCACGGGGCGAGAAGGTGAGGGAGAAGCAGGGCCTGGGGCTGGGGTTGTGGGGAGGGAATGGCACTGACCCCATGTGTCCATAGGGTGATGTGGGAGCGCCTGGTGAACCTGGCCAGCCGGTAAGTGCTGCCGCCTGGCATCCCACCCCATTCCTGGCGTGAGGAGTAGTGGCTGCACCCAGCACTGTCCCTCCTGCTTTGTCCCCAGGCTCCCAGCATGGCCAGTGTCAGAGGAGAGAAGGTAGCCTTGTCCCTGACCTTTGGTATTGTCCCCATGGCACAGCTGGGATGGGGGCATAGCACAGTGGTGCTGGATGCTGGCACCGCTGGGATGCCCATGCTGATCCTCAGCTGCAGCATGGGGAAGGGGAAGTCTGGGGGGACTAACGGTGCCATTTCATCTGCTCCAGGGTGACAGAGGATTTCCAGGACCAGAGGGGCCTCCTGGCCCCAAGGGTGATGTAGGGGAGAGGGGTGCCCGTGTGAGTACCTTGAGCTGGGCAGGTTCTGGGGCATGCAGCCCATCTGGGCTCTCCTTGCTGTGCGTTTTTGCTGGTCCCGCTGTTCCAAGCTGCTTTCCTTTGTCTTTAGGGTGTCCCTGGCCTGAGCATCCCAGGACCAACTGGCCCCAAAGGCGAGCAGGGCGAGCGGGTGAGTGCACATAAATGCATGGAGCTGGGCTCTGATCTCATGCCCAAGTCCCCATTAACAGCACTGTCCTTCTGCACCTCCCAGGGCATCACTGGCCTCACTGGCAGGAGCGGTCCAAAGGTAATGGCATTGCAGGAGGCTTCACTCCTTTGTCCATCTGTCCATCCATCATGTGTTACTGGGCCTTAGTTCCCCTGGTCTTCCTCTTTCCCCCTCAGGGTGACGCAGGGGAGCCAGGCGAGAAGGGTGAGCCAGGCAGAGTGGGTGCACCAGGACAACCAGGGCAGCGTGGCAAGGAGGTAGCGTGGGGCCAGGAACAGTAGGAGATGCTATGGGGATGCTGAGGCCCCAAGGAATGGGGAGCAGCACAGAGGGACACTGGTGACTTGTTCTCTTGTCCCCTCACCTGTGCTTTAGGGTGAGCGTGGAGAGAAGGGTGATGAAGGCACCCCGGTAAGTGGGAAACTCATGGACCACTGCCTCCCTGTTGCCCCCCAGCCCACTCACCCCATCTATCCCTCAGGGTGAAGCAGGGGTGCCTGGCAAACCTGGAGACAGGGGTCCACGGGTAAGTACTGGGCTGGTGGGAGCCCTGGGCCAGGGGAGACCTTGGTGGCCTTGAGTGGCCCAGGGTAACATACATCTCCCCATACCCCCCAACCAGGGGCTGCCTGGGTACCGTGGCCCCCCTGGAGAGAAGGGCGACCTCGGAGACCCAGGTCCTGAAGGCAGAAACGTGAGTGCCACCACATGAGTGCCCATGGGTACCCCCTGACCCCAGGGGTAACCCCATCTCCTGGGTACCCCATCCCCCTTCTCACTCATCCCTCTCCACAGGGCATTCCCGGAGCACCTGGCACCAAGGGTGACCGCGGGGAGCCGGTGAGTGACACCCACCCAGGTGCCAGATCTGCACCCCCTCCCCAATACACACCAGAACTCATTAACAAATTTGCTCTCTTTTCTTTCAGGGTCCTCCTGGACCCCCAGGACGAGCTGTAAGCTGTACCCTCCCCCTTTCCTGCCAGCAGGTCTGTGCCCTCTCTGATGTCCCCTCTCTGCTCCACAGGTGGATGTGGGGCTTGGAGGAGTAGGAGAGAAGGGTGAGAAGGTAACAGCCAAGAGGTGATGATGTGATGCTTTGCTGTGGGACTGCAGCATTGCACTGCTTCTGACCACTGTGTCATCCCTGACAGGGAGATGCTGGGGACCCGGGCGAGGATGGAGCAAAGGGGGCCAAGGGTGAGAGTGGCCCCCCTGGACTGCCGGGGTTGAGTGTAAGTGTGGGGTGAGTGATGACCTGGAGAGCCACGGTGGGCCCTGGGGTTGCGCCCACCATTGTCATGTATCACTTGCAGGGCATTGAAGGCCCCCGCGGCCCCCCCGGCGCACGGGTGAGTGCCCCTTTTCCCCTTCCCATGCTCAGTCCCACTTGGGGATGGAACAGTGCTTACTCCGTCCTCTTCCCGTAGGGTGACCCTGGGGACCGAGGCTTGCCTGGAGAGAAGGTGAGGGGGATGGGGGCTGCCCACCACCCCCTGTCCCTCTGTGCAGCACAGTCCTCATGCAGTGCTCTGTTCCAGGGGGAGCGCGGCCCACCAGGGCTGGATGGCCGCAACGGACTGGAGGGGAAACCTGGCCCTCCGGGACCCACCGGGCTGAGGGTGAGCATGGTCTGGGGTGGCACTGGAAATGGGAACACGGGATGAGGGCGGTGGTGGGGCAGAGGCATCCCACTGCACGTCCGCTGGAGGTGCTCATGGGATGCTCACGTCCTCTTCATCTATAGGGGGACCCTGGGAAGCAGGGGGACCCTGGCCGAGATGTAAGTATCTCCTGGGAGTGTGGGTGTGCGTTCTTCTCCTGCTGGGGACATGACGCTTCTGTTTCGTCCCCCATCCCATGGCTGTGCTCTTACCTCCCATAGCAGAGGCTGTGTCCTGTTGCTGCCCTGTGCCTCCCCTCTTCTCCTGTCCCTGCAGGGGCTGCCTGGGCTGAGGGGGGAGCAGGGACCGCCTGGCACAATAGGACCGTTGGGACCACCTGGTATCCCTGTGAGTAACAGCCCCGTGTGCCATGGGGACATGTCCTGCTGCAGGGACACGTTCTGCACTGTGCCTCTGCACTTGGTCCCAGCTCTCCTAGGGGACATCAGTAGGAGCTGGGACCCCTGACTGCCCGTGCTGGGGACTCCTCTTACTGCCTCTCCTTCCTCCCAGGGAAAACCCGGTGACGATGGCAAACCTGGCCTAAATGGCAAGAATGTGAGTAGAGCATGGGGTTTGGCTTTGGGGTGCTGATGAGAACCTTGAGGGCTGGCAGCCCCAAACTGGCACAGAGCCGAGGGAGGCATGTGGCACAGCACCCCATCCCATGCCCTTGGGACTGCCCCTGTCCTGCCCACTGCTTGTGCTGTGGGTGCCAATTCATAACCTCCATCCCAAGGGAGAAGATGGGACGCCAGGAGAAGATGGGAGAAAGGTGAGGAGCAGTGCCCTATATGGTCCCCATTGGTGTCACTTCTGGACTGAGTCTTTTTTTTTCCTCCTCCTGGTTAGGGAGACAAAGGTGATGCCGGAGCCCCTGGCAGAGATGTGAGTAGCCCTGTGCTGTGGGTTGTCCCCACTGGGGACAAGCTGGGACAGCACCCAGTCACTGGGGGTGACACAACTCTCTCGGCAGGGCCACAACGGTGCCAAGGGCGAGCAGGGGGACAGAGGCATGCCTGGCCTCCCTGGCCCCCCTGGTGTCCCTGGTGTCCCAGGGCAGGTTGGCCCCCCAGGCCAGGTTTGTTATCCTCAAGCTCTAGCTGCCCCATGGTTTACTTGAGGCCCCATGTCCATGGGTGCCATTGTGTCCCATCTGTACTTCCAGGGCTCACCCGGCCTTCGTGGGATCACTGGACCAAAGGTAGGTGTCCTCTAGCGCTCTGTGACAAAAGTCTGGGGGGTATCCGTGCTAGAGGGGGTGAGTCCTTCGGGGACCCTGTGGCTGGGCAGCCTGGCCCTTCTCCCCCTGACTGCTTTGCTGTATTTCAGGGGGACCCAGGGGAGCCAGGACCACGAGGGGAGCCAGTGAGTATCCAGCACTGAGTACTGTGGGAGAACCACAGCCTCTCCCAGGCAGCACCCTGTGGCATTCGCTCTGAAACCTATTAGTGTAGCAGCAGTGCTGCCCACCTCACCCATGGCACATCCCATTCCCTCTTGCTCTGCAAACTTAGGGGCGGCCTGGTGTCAGCGGAGACCCTGGGACTGCAGTGGTGAGTTCTCCACTGGGCTGGGACATCAGCCTTGGAGGTCCCCAGAGCCCCAGTGGTAGAAGCAGCACAATAGGCTTCCTTTCTCATGTCCTTTTATTGTAGAATATCGAACGTAGTCTGGAAGCCCTCGGCATCAAGGTATGGGGTGGGCATGGGTATGGGGCCAGCTGGTGGTGAGAGACCAGAGGAGGGTGGGATGGGGCACTGGGACTGGAGTGCATGACTGCTGATCACTGCCTCTTTCCTCCCTTCCAGATCTCATCTCTGAAGGAGCTGACGGGTGCCTATGATGGCAGCTCGGACTCCTTTCTGCCTGTGTCCGAACGGCTACGGGGACAGAAGGGCAGCCGGGGGGAGCCAGGGGAGAGGGGTCCCCCAGGCCGGGAGGTGAGCACTGTGGGGCTCCAGGGGGTCACTTCTTGGCTCAGACTCATTGCCACCTTCCCCCTACCCACCTGGCTCCGAGACCTGAGCCCTGCTGAATCCCTCCAGCCCTAGGATGCTCTATGGGGGCTCGCAGCTCCCTGCATTTTGAGGTGCCCATCCCACAGTCTGGTATGCTTTTTTGCAGGGTTCTTTAGGCTTCCCTGGTGAGCGAGGACCCAAAGGTGACAAAGGGGACCAAGGTGCCCCTGGTCCTCAGGGCCCCGCAGGCCGGGCTGTGGGCGAGCGGGGCCCAGAGGGGCCACCGGGGCAGCCAGGGGAGCCAGGCAAGCCGGGCATCCCAGGGGTGCCAGGCCGGGCTGGCGAGCTGGGGGAGGCCGGGCGACCTGGTGAGAAGGTGAGTGTGGGGGTGTAGGCAGGGGGACATGGCTTCCGGGCTTGGGGACAGCTTCATGAGCCCCCCCACCTCTTTTTTGCAGGGTGACCGTGGTGAGAAGGGCGACCGGGGTGAGCAGGTGAGCCGTAATGGGAATGCAGTCCCCTCTGTCCCTCTGCTTTTCATAAAACTTGGATATACCCCATGGACTGAACATTCTGGGGATGCTCCATCTGTTTTCCTTCTCACCAGGGCAGAGATGGCTTGCCAGGCCTCCCAGGGCCCCCAGGGCCCAAGGTAGGTGATAGATGCTGCTGGGGACTGTCCCCAGGAGGTGCCAGTAGATGCCTCCAGGGATGAATTTCATGTCTGGTCCCCTGGCACAGGGGCTCAGGAGGGGTTGTGCCACTGGGGGACCTCCCTGGGGTCCCCTGGATGCCAGCCCTGACCACGCTGTGCCTGCAGGCAGACGCAATGGAGGGCAGCCTGATGGGCTTCCCAGGCGAGCGAGGTCCCCCTGGACTTAAGGGAGTGAAGGTGCGTGTCCAGGAGAAAGGAGCAGGGCAGCGATGGAGCCAGAATCTGAGTTCTTTGAGGAGGGATGATGTGATAATTGCTGGCTGTGATGGGCTGGGAGAGTGGGCATCCCAAACTGCAGCATGTGGGTCTGATGGTATCTCCTTCCTCCTTCCTACAGGGTGAGCCTGGTGCCGAGGGCGAGCGAGGACCCAAAGGAGATAAGGTCTGAGTGTAGTAAGTCTCCTGTGGCTCCTCTGCTTCTCTGTTCCTCACTCCCTTTCTGGGCTCAGCATCGGTCTCTGCTCTCCTCTCTTCATGTGCTGCCAACAGGGTGACCCCACAGAACGAAGCCCTGGGCAGGGGCACAACTGGGGACATCCCTCTCTGGGTGCAAGTGGGATGTGAGGGCATGTGGGGGACAGGGAAATCCCTGCCTGTAGCACAGGTCCTACAACTCTTTACTTCTCCCCACATCAGGGTGAAGGTGGATCACGGGGCGAGCGAGGAGAGCCTGGCGAGAAGGGCAGGGATGGCTCTCCAGTGAGTATGGCACCAAACCTCCATTTTCATTCCCCCCTCCATCATCCTTGTCATTTCCATCCCTGTCACATCCTGCATCACCCCTGTGGTTTCCACCTCCATCTCTATCATGTTCTCCATCACCCCCATGGACTCATCTCCATTCCCATTACATTCTCCACTCCCATGGACTCCATCTCCACCCTCATCATGTTCTCTATCTCCATTATGGTCTCTGTCGCTCCCATTGTCTCCATCTCCATCCTCATCACAATCTCCATCAACCACCCTGTTGTCTCCATCTCAGTCACTGTCCCTATCATCCCCATCTCCATTCTCATCACCACTATTGTCTTCACCATCTCCATCTCTTGCTCCAGGGCCTCCCAGGAGAGAGGGGTCTGGCTGGCCCCGAGGGGAAGCCGGTGAGTGTGGCTGCAGGGGGCTGAGGTCTGGGAGGTATGGGCAGATCCCATGGTTGCACAACAGTCACCACCAACCCAAAGGGAGCATTCACATGTTGTTTGCATCCTTCCCTCCTACACAGGGCCCGCAGGGCTTTAGAGGGCCCCCTGGTCCCTCAGTAAGTACCCTTGGGTGGGTACTGCATGGTGACACTGCATTCATCCCCCAGGGAGCTTTATGGGCAGGCGGGGCTGCTTGGAGGTGGTGTGGCCCTGCTCCCCTGCTGGCTATAATGTGCTTCTTTGCAGGGCTTGCCAGGTTTCCCTGGTGTGCTGGGCCGCCCGGTAGGTGTCTGTCCCCAGCATGTCACTGTCCCCCTGGCTCCTGCTCAGTGTGTGCTAGGCATGGTGCATCCTGCTGGGAGCTGGCCAGGCTCTTCCGTGCATGGCATGGGTGCTTCCCAGAGCCCCTGTGCACCAGGGACATCCTGACCACATCTCTCCCTCCCTCCCAGGGCAATCAGGGTGAGCCAGGGCCACCAGGACCTGCGGTAAGGAGACCCCTGTGTCACGTGCAGGGCACTGCAAAGGGCACAGCAAAGGGGACTTGGGGCAGATGTCCCCACAATGAGTGGGGTTGATAGCCCTGGGATGGCACTGTCCTGGTACCTCTTCCCACCCCATAGAGCTGTGCCACCAGTGGGCATTGTCCTGAATGTAATTTCTTCTGCAGGGTGCTGCTGGCCCACCAGGGAGCCAGGGTCCATCTGGGATGAAGGTACACCATTGCCATTGTCATCATCACCTTCATCATCTCCATGTTTGGTCTGGCGCAGGAAAGAGATGCCACGCCAGCATTGTGGGCTGCAGGGAGAACTTGGAGTCTGGCCCATTCTAGAGGCACTCAGTGCTCAGGGGACATAGGGATAAAGCTGTGATGATTGTGGCAGGGAAAGGGATCAGCAAGACTGACATGGGTTCTGTCCCCACAGGGTGATCCAGGGGAACCTGGTGCTGGCATCCGGGTGAGCCTCCCCAAACCCAACCCCTTCCTGGGGACAGCTGAGCTCCCGCTGTCCCAGAAACATATGCCAGCGTGGCATCTCCTCTCTGACTCCACTGTTCTCCTTGCAGGGATTGCCTGGTCCGCAGGGCAGCATGGGGCTGCCTGGCCCTCCAGGACCACCTGGTCTGGTGGTAGGTACCCCCAACCCTGTCCACAGGAACAGCCCTTCCCACTGCCTCAGCTGTGGGTTGATTTCTGGTCATTTGTCCATCACAGGGCCCTCCGGGTGCTCCTGGGCTGCCAGGACAAGTGGTGAGCACGTGCCCTACTGAGCTGGCCTCAGCCTTGGGGCATGCCAACCCCATAGCTGCCTGGCTGTGGGATGTGCATAGCTTCAGCTCTGCTCTCACACTCTGCAGGGGGAGAGTGGCAAGCCAGGTGTGCCTGGGCGGGATGGTGTGCCAGGGAAGGACGGTGAACCAGGGATGCCCGGGAAGTTGGTATGACAGCCAGTGCCATTGCACTGGGGCTGGGGGCTCAGCACAAGCTGCAGAGCTGGTGCTCAGGGCTGTGTGCTTTGTGCCAGGGTGTGCCAGGACCATCAGGCCCTACTGGCCCCAAAGGGGAGCCAGGGGATGCGGGAGCACCGGGGCAGGTGAGTGCTTCCTTGCAGCTTCCCCTGCTCACCAGGGCTAGCAGATGACCACAGCCCTGCTGACTGCTGCCTCTCTCCCCTCTGCCCCAGGGCATTGCTGGCCCTCCTGGTGCCAAGGGCGAGAAGGTAAGGAATGGGGTGTGCATGTGAGGGAGACCCTCCCCATAGCCGGCAAAGGTCTGTGCCTGACCCTGTGTTGCTGCAGGGTGAGCCGGCGCTGCTGGAGGGCGTGCTGCTGGGTGAACCTGTGAGTTGGTGCCTATAACCCCATCCCTGTGTCTCCCTGGGCTGAGCCAGGCCCCGGCAATTCTCTCCCATCCCCAACACTGCTCTTTCTCCTTAGGGTTCCAAAGGTGCCCGAGGTTTGCCTGGCCCCAAGGGTGAGAAGGTGAGGAGGTGTCATGAGAGTATCAGGCTCTCTTGGGTTGCAGCCATCCCTACTCCCCCCACCTGTCACCCACCCCTGCTCTTTGCTTCTGTCCTCCTGCCAGGGGGAGCCTGGAGGAGCTGGGGAGCCTGGAGACCCCGGCGAAGATGTGAGTAGAGGATGTGAAGGGGAGCTGATGGGTTCACATCCTTACCCTGTACCCTGAATAGCTCTGTGTCGTTGCAGGGAGCCAAGGGATCACCTGGAGTCAAGGGGGAAAAGGTGAGAATCCCCATCCCAAGTGCTCTGCCACCCCTGTGCTCCCAGGGGTGACTGTCCCCATACTCTCTGACACCACACAGGGCACTCCAGGTGTCGGTGTGCGGGGACCACCAGGACAGGATGGGCCTCCAGGTTTGAAGGTAAGCCCTTCCTTATCCCTGGTCCTATGTCCGCTCCCTGCCTGCCTCTGAGGAGGCTGTTTCCCTGGCCATGTCTCTTTCCTCCTTGCTGCAGGGTGACATCGGTTTGCCAGGACCTCCTGGACCACCGGGATTAGTGGGCATCGCTGGGGCACCGGGACAGCCAGGCCTGAGAGGGGACAGCGGGCAGCCTGGCCCACCAGGAGCCCCTGGAGAACGGGTAATGGCAGTGGGCTCAGGCAGCACCAGTGAGGGCTCAGCAGCTCCGTTCCCTGCCTTGAGCCCTGACACCGCTGTGTCCCCCCCAGGGTGCAATTGGCTTCCCTGGGAGGGATGGTGCCGCAGGGCCACCTGGACCCCAAGGGCCCCCAGGGCCAGCGGTGAGTATGGGGCTGCAGCATCCCAGGGTGGGTGCAGGATCCCTCCCTGGTCCCTTGCTGGCTCATTGGGGGCTGATGGGGTCACCAGCCAGAGCATCTGGCACAGCCCTGTTTACTCACCCCTCTCCTTTCCTTTAGGGCATACAAGGGGCCTCGGGGCTGAAGGGTGACAAGGTAGGACCGGGGACAGTGCTATGGCACAGAGGTGTGGGGCTACTCCTCTTGTGGGGTGCTACTGCTCCCTCTTGGCTGATGCTGAGCCCACTCTGGGTGATGGCACCTGGCAGCCTGCTCTGTGCACTTTGGGCAGTGCAGGGGGCATGGGATGGTGGGAAGACACAGCTGGGGCCACAGGACCTGCTTCTTGCTGAGGTGAGCTGCACAGGGGAACAAACTCTTGTGTTTCCCCCACAGGGTGACCCAGGGGCTGGGCTGCCGGGAGCCAGAGGTGAACGTGGAGACCCAGGACCACGGGTAGCTAGCACCATAAAATCCCCCTGCCCATACCACCATGGCACTCCCATGTCCCCCCCACGAGGGGTGCCCCCCGACCCACTCCTCACACCTCCCCTCCTGCTTGCAGGGTGAAGATGGGCGCCCAGGGCTGGCAGGCGACCGTGGGCCAATGGTACGTACCAACCAGCTCACCATCCCCCCAGGTAGGCTCCCCCAAACCAGCATTCTCCTCTTTCCCAACAGGGCTTGCCTGGGAACCGAGGGGAGCGTGGGGACAAGGTAAGGGACCTCTTTTGGGGCTGGGGAGCCAGAGAAGGGAGCGCTCCCACTCTTGAGACATCTCACTGTGCCCTCCTTGCAGGGAGACGTCGGGGCCGTGGGGCCCAAAGGAGACAAGGTGAGATGAGACCCCCAGGGCTGGGGCAGGGGGTGGCAGTGCTGTCCCCCCCCCCAGCTCACACCCACCTCTCTCCTGCATGCAGGGCGATACCATTGTGGTGGAGGGGCCTGCTGGGGCGAGAGGCAACAAGGGGGAGCCGGTAAGAGCTGGAGGTCTGCTGGTGGACCCTGCCTCAGGAAGCATGTCCACCCCATAGACCCTTATGTCCCTGCCCAGGCAGCTCTTTCCTCCCCACCCCAATGACCCCTGATCCCATCCTTCTGTTCTCCCCTCTGCAGGGAGGCCGTGGCCTAAAGGGCTCCGAAGGGGACAAAGGGGACAAGGGGGAGCAGGGAATGCCCGGCGAGAAGGTATGAGGCAGGGGGGCAGGGCTGGGAAGTGGTTGGCAATGGCTAGAGGGACCTAAGAGCATGACAGCATTCTTGTGCCCCATGCGCATCCAGGCCTCTGGCACAGTGCTGGGTGTCCTGTCAGTGTGTGGCCCTGCATTTGCCAGAGCTCTTCCTCCTGCCCAGTGCTGATTTGGGGCTGTGCTTGCAGGGTGCAAGAGGTGAACCAGGTGAGAAGGGCTCTGCAGGCTTCCCTGGGGCACGCGGCCCTGGCGGGCAGAAGGTAAGTAGCTGGGCACCCTGCACCACAGTGGGGTCCTCTCGCTGCCCACTAGCCTTCACCCACATCTTTGCCTTTGCCTTTACCAGGGAGAAGTTGGCATGCCAGGGGAGCCTGGTGAGCCGGTGAGGAGCTGTGTCTCAGTACCAATGCCACCCCACTGCGGGGCACAAGTAGTCCTCATCGTGCTGTGTGCTTCTTGCAGGGCTTGCCTGGTCGGGATGGCATTGCTGGAGCACGAGGAGAGAAGGGGGACATGGGGCCACTGGGCTTGCGTGGCCCCAAGGTGGGTGATCCCCTGTGCTCTGTGGTCAGGACACATGCTGGCTTCGCGGGGCTCTGACTCCCTTTGTCCCTGCAGGGTGAGCGGGGCATGAAAGGCGCCTGTGGCCTCGATGGGGACAAGGGTGAGAAGGTGAGGGGATGACCATCCTGTAGCCAGGACCTCAGCCCTGCAATAGGTTCACAGGGTCCCCCCTCGTGCCTGAGGGAGGTGTGGGGCTGAGGACTGACACCTGCTTTGCTCCTGCAGGGAGAGCCGGGGCTGCCGGGGCGCTCGGGGCTGCCAGGAAGGAAGGGTGAGCCGGTAAGCATCGTGCCAGCACCGTGCTGCGAGGGGGATGTGCATCCAGGGGCTCATAGATGTCTGTTTCATCCCCCAGGGAGAACTGGGGTTGTCTGGAGCACCCGGCATCCCTGGGAAGGAGGGGCTCATGGGACCCAAGGTAGGGCAGTGGGAGGCTGTGCTGAGACCTCAGGAATGGCCCCTCAGGGCTGCTCCTCCTGAACTCTTGCTGCCTGCACCTTCCTCTACACAGGGTGACCGTGGCTTCGATGGGCAGCAGGGAGCCAAAGGAGACCAGGGGGAGAAAGGAGATCGGGTGAGCTGTGCGAAGAGGTTGCATAAGTCACACTGCATTGCTCGTACTGGGATCAAGCCTTGTCCAAAGGGCACTAAAGCTCCCAAAAGTGCCTACTCTGGGCTGTACGTATGTGGATGTCCCCATACTGACCATCTGCTCCATCATAGGGTGCACCAGGCATGATCGGTACCCCTGGTCCCCGGGGCAGTGATGGTGCTCCCGGCCCCCCTGGCCCCCCAGGCAGCGTTGGGCCACGAGGTCCTGAGGGCATGCAGGGCCAGAAGGTGAGTCTTTGTCCCCCAAGAGGCGAAGGATTGGTAGCATCAGGAGCCGTGTCCCAGCTCCATACCTCCCCCACCAACTCAGTGGCTTTGGGGACCTCCCTGTGTCCCCCTGCTCAAGGGAGGGTTAGGAGCAGCGGTTTGGGACCCCTGTCCTGAGGCTGTGCTGGAGCCAGATGGGATGTGCCCATGTTCTTTACAGGGGGAAAGAGGCCCCCCTGGGCAGGCAGTGATGGGGGCCCGCGGTGTGCCTGGTATCCCTGGTGAGCGAGGAGAGCAGGTGGGTGAGCCCAGCCCTGCCCAGAGCGGACCCAGTGGTACAGCTCTCAGCCCCACTTTGTTTGTCCCTAGGGCAGTCCTGGTGCTGAGGGACTCCGTGGGGAGAAGGGGGATCCGGGCATGACGGTAAGGGGCTGTCAGCACGGGGCCAGCAGGTGGGAAGGGGCACTGCATCCATCCCGCTGCTGCTTATGGAACATACCCAACTCCAGACTCTGCTCTGAACCTGGGGAAAGCTTTTTCCTACCTCTAATTGTGCATTCTTTGCTCCACCACTGGGCAGGAGGAAGAGATCCGCGCCTTCGTCAGGCAGGAGATGAGCCAGCACTGTGGTGAGCACCTCACAGCCGCCCTGGGTTTGGGGATGCCCCACAGAGCCCCTTGCTCACCTCCACTCCATCTCTCCTGCAGCATGTGGAGGGCAGCTCCCGCGGCGCTTGGATTCCCGTGAGCACTCAGGTTGTGTTTCTGTTCCTCTCCCCATGCCCTTGCCTGTCTCTCAGCACTCAGTGGGGCTGTAGGGTCATAGAATATCCCGAGTTGGAAGGGACCCAAAAGGATCATTGAGTCCAACTCCTGCTGGGATGTGGGGCGCAGCAGTGGGTGGGATGGGGTGCAGGGTTCCAGCCCAACTGGATGCTTTGTCTCCAAGGAGGATGGGGGACTCGGCCCAGGAGCATCCTTCAGTCTGCCCATGGAGGAGGGAGAAGTGTCCGCCAAGAGAAGGAGCACAGCCAAACAGGTGATGGAGAGTGTGGAGCTGCATCCAGGTGCATCGGAACACAGCCTTCTTGAGCCTGGCAGTGCCACCTCCCTGACAGGAGTTGCACTGTGCTCCCAGGGCACTTCTGAGCCTGCAGGGAATGGGGCATCCCCAGGACCCCTCTCCTGGGCAGTTCTGAGCTACTCTGCACCTGAACAGGGGTTTCCCATGTCTGCTGTTCTTCCCTCCCAGATCACTCCCCCCATTACCCACCCACTGAGGCATTCCCAGATCTCAGTGCTCATGTTGTCCCCGTGCTTAAAGTGTCGCATGCAGAGGAGGAGGAGGGTGAGTGCTGTCCCTGTGCATTTTGTTCCTTTTATTCCCTATATGTACGTTGCAAGCCCTGTGCTGACAGGTACCCAAGGATGCCCAAAGGCCACGGGATAGCCCAGTGCTGCACTCACTGCCAGTGTTGTCTGCAGGGCAGGACAGGCGTGTTGTCATTGACACCAATGACCTGGAGTACGACAGCATGTATGGGGAGCAGGAGGACTACGACACAGCTCTGGATGCAGGCAGCTTGGAGCAGCTCGCAGAGGATGGTGAGCTCCCTGTGCCCCACAGGGCACCAGGCATAGCACAGGTGACCCCGTGGTGCAGGGTCTGCCTTGTTCTGCTGGGAACCCAATGCACCAAGCCTGTGCCCTGGGGTGGGCACTCTAGCAGCACATGGCTTGTTCAGGCATTGGGTTCCCCATGCTTCTGGATGAGAGATGCTGGTCTGTGTTGCGCCCTCACCGTTGCGCTTTGTCCCTGCAGCAGAGCCCTGCCACCAGCCCATGGAGGAGGGGGGCTGCCAGCGGTACACACTGCGCTGGTACTACAACCAAAGAGCCGCCGAGTGCCGGCCCTTTGTCTACAGTGGCTGCCAGGGCAATCTCAACCGCTTCGGCAGCCAGGAGGAGTGTGAGCTCCACTGCAGGCAGCGCGTGGGGACAGGTGGGCACAGCACGGCTATCAGCTCTGGCAGCATCGCACCTGGTGCCGTGCTTGGTGCCACCTCGCCTCCCCCACAGGTGCTGGCAGCGGGGAAGGACGGCGGCCGGAGGCGTAGCGTGGTGATCCCTGCAGGAACATGGTGCTATTTCTGACGTCTCTTCTTGTTGCTCATGGGTTTTTCCCTTTACATTGATTCTATTCGCCCGTTGAAGGTGAAATTTCTATCAAATGGGAACAAAGCCTCCCCATACGCCTTTTATCTGGTTTCCAAACCAGAGCTCTCTTGGGATGTTGGTTTGATTTTTAACTTATTTGCTGTCAATGGGACAGCTCTTGGCCCCATGTTCCTTTTTTGGCTGCCCAGAGCTGGGAGTGGGCACAGTTTGAGCCCTTCCCCAAACCCGACACTTCAAATCCCCAAGGCTGTGGGCTGCCCTTATCACCCTCGTGGGCTCCCAGCATGCAACCACGCAACCTGCTCCATTTGAATGAATTTCACCTTCACCCCACCTGGGCCCCGGTTCCCCTTTTGGGGTGCGATGGTTTGGCAGAGAACTGCAGGAGGGAGGGAGGCTTTCTCCATGCACTGCCCTCCGGCTCGCACCTCTGCCTGGAAACTGGGACACACCAGGGAGACCCTGAGGATGGTGCTATGTTAGAGGCGATTCCTGCTCATCAGGAAGGTGACTGACGCTGGCTCCTGCGCAGCCTAGACGCACTGCTGCTCTGTGTATATCTGTATACAGCAAATGTATATGTGTACCAATGCAGGGGTGGGACACGGTATTAAAGATGTGCTCATGGAAGAATGCTGTGCCTCTTTGTGTGCCACAGGGTCTGGGGCAACAAAGCCAACCTGACCCCCTTGTCTCTGGCCCTATGTCTGCTGGCAACCCGTGTCTTCCTGCCCGCAGTGCCCGCTGGCTGCCCTCCTGCCCTGGTGCCCCCTGTCCCCATGTCCTGTCCCTGTGCCTTGATGATGCACACATGCCCACGACCCACAGGCACGTGGGGCTGTGGTGCAGTGTGAATCAGTGCCTCGGTCTAATTTTGGCCATTCTGCCATGCCGGGGGGTGAGTTCCTGTCCTGTCTCCAGAAGGAAGAACAGAGCCCCATTTATTTCCTCTCTCCACCACCCCACAGGCACAGTCACTCCAGCCCACAACAGAGCCTGTGGGCATGCTCGGTTCTATGAAGCAGCAGTTGGTTGGATGTCCAATGTGAGATAATTATGCCGTGTTCCCGAAATCCCCTCCAAATTCAGCTCCATGAGCTATGAGGGGACAAACGCCCACCCGCATCCCGGGGTGATTTCATCTGTGATGAGTTATTATCTGTGATGTGTTAATAGTGGCCCTGCTGCACGCCACCCCGGGGGGGCGGGAGGTGGAGCTGGGGCAGGATAAGAGCCAGGGCTCAGCTCTGAGCAGGGCAAACCCCATCTGCCACCCCTACACCGTGAGAGCAGCAGGGGACGAGGACTGCAGGAAATGGTGAGGCTGCACCTCTGAGTGGTGCTTTGGGGGGATTTACCTGGGACATGGGTCACAGGGGTTGGATGCTTTCTGCCATCACTCACCACCCAGTTTCCAGCTCATCCAGCTGCCTCTGGCTGCGCACTCCGGTGCTTTCCAAAGGGTTTCACCCAGGAGGTGGAGTAGAGAATGAGGATGCTGGCTGCATTCCACTGCTTCCCTCTGGATTTTGCAGCCAGCCCCTAGAGCAGCGCAGGATCCCGCAGAGGAGGATGCTGAGGATGCCATGCACGTGGCCACGTCATGCTCTTGTCACCCTTCTGCTTATTTTGGGCAAATTGTCCCATCTGAGAGGGTAGCTTTTGGCCCACAGAGCTGAGGGGTGGCATTACCGGGGGGCAGCTTGGAGGCAGTGGTGGTTTGAGCCCCAGTCCCACGTCACACGTTCCTGATCAAAGGGCAGCTGTGGGGCGGGGAGCGGCTGCGGGAGGAGACACTGTGTTGTCCCCAAGCTGCCATCACCACCCCATCTCTATACTGCCACCACCCCCACGGGGTGTGAATGGGACAGGGCACACCAGGTGGGGGGTGATGCTAAGTGCTGCGCTCTGTTCCTGCAGGCTGTGCTGCTGCCCTTCCTGCTGCTGCCATGGGGCATGGTGCAGGGGCTGAGCCTCCAGAACAGCCCTGCTGTGCCCGGTGCACCCTGGCATGAAGGTGGCTGGGACAAGGAGGGCAGCAGCGGAGTAATGCTGGGGCTCCCTGGGGAGAAACATGGCCACGGCTCTGGGGATGGCTCTCAGCTGGATGGAACCACGCAGCTGCTACTGGAGAAGTCAGTGAGAGAAGTGTGGCCCTGGCTGCCAAACCCTGACACCAACAGAGCTGCTGCGGTAAAAAAGAGCAGCACAGCAAGAAAGGTGTCCCTGTCCCTTGATGTCCCCACACACATCCTGAGGATCCTGCTGGACTTGGCCCGGGAGAAGGAGCTGCAAGCCAAGGCAGCTGCCAATGCCGAGCTGATGGCACGCATTGGGCGCAGGAAGTGAGCACAACACGCACCATGGCCAAAGGACTTTGTGTGGCCACGGAGGCTGCTGGCAGTCGCTCCCTGCACCCAGCCGTGCAGGTGCAGGATTTAGCCCCGGACAGTCTGATCCTTGGCATGTGCTGCATAGATGGTGTGCACACAGCAGCTGTTGTTCTAACCTGACGTCAGCACTGTGGGAGCAAAGCCCCAGCCGAGACAGCCCTGGTGACACCGTGCCTGGTGCAGCGGAGTCTGTGTGGGCACGTCCTTGTCCCCAGTGCACCTCTGCTGATGTGCCCCAGAATTGCCCATGCATGCCTTCCGACCCCCAGTTTTCCATGTACCCTCTGTCGAGATGCTCTGTACACCATAAAGTTCACCCAGACCTATGAGCACTTTACAGGTGCAGCGTGTGGTGCCACTCAGCGCCGCCCCAAGGCTGCCACGCACCCCAAGATAAGGGCCGAGCGGGCAGCGTGCAGCCGCCCTGTACAAAGGGCAGGGCCAGGGCCGGGGCTGCTGCTGGGGCGGCTGGAGCCGGGTTGGATGGGGCCATGCTCTTTGAGGAGATCCTGGTGCAGGGTGAGCAAGAACGGTGTTGGGGTGGAAGTGTCGGGGTGACCCCACTGTGGGAGCGGTAATCTTGGGTGGGAAATGGAGCAAGGGGTGCCGGCCAGCTGCTGCCGTGCTGGGGTGAGCAGGGGGGTGAGGGGTCACAGCCCTGCCACGGGGACACGGGGGGGACAGCCGGGTGTCACTGGGATATCGATATGGGTTCGGTCCCATCCTCACTGCTGTGTCCACCCTACTGGTGTCCCCGGTGTCCCTGCTGCTGCCGGGTGCCACGTTGTCCCCTGCTGCCGCTGGTCCCGGGGTGTCCCTCCGCAGTTCCTCCCAGCAATCTCCAAGTGCCACCAGCTCCTCCGTACCCCCGGTCACGTTGTGTCCTCCTTGGTCCCTGAGTCCCGTGGTCCCGGCGTCTCCCATGCCGGTGACCCCTTCCCGCTGAACCCCGAGCCCCCAGCCGATCCCCGCCAACCCCGCCGTACGCGCCCCTCGCCCAGCGCCCACCCCCGCTACGCCCACCCCGCAGCCCCCCCAGCCCCGCCCCATTCCCTTCGCCAATCAGATCTCGCCCTTCTCCCCTCCACCTGTCAATCACTTCCGTCTCCATGGGCACCGCTCAGCGCCCCGCCCCATGGCCCCGTAGCCCCGCTCCTCGCGGCGGTGCCGGCAGTGACGTCACGGCGGGTCGTCCCGCGCCTGCGCAGTGCGGCGGCGGCAGTGACAGGCTGGCAGGAAGGGGCGGGCGGCGGCAGCGGGGCGGACGGGCTGTGCTCGGCTCGGCTGACGGACGGGCCTTTCACAGCCGCCGGCGGCGCCATGCTGAAGAAATTCGACAAGAAGGACGAGGAGTCGGGTGAGGGGCGGAGGGCGGCCAGGGGAGGGCGCGGGGGGAGCAGCGAGGAGTCCTGTGGGGGGGGGACCCGGCCGGGGCCGTGCCGCTGCTGTGCCTGTCCCGCTCGCGGCCGCGGCGCTCCGTTCCTCCGTCGCTGCGCGCGGCCGTCGCAGCGCGTTCTCCTCGCCGCAGCTGTCCGCTCTGGCCCCGCTGGTTTCGCGTGGAAGAACCCCGGCGCCGCCCCCGCCTCCCTAGGCTGTGAACGTGTCCCGGCTCCGCTGTCGGGATGGGCTCTGCCTGCTGGGATCCCGCCGCTCCGCTCCTCGCGTTGCCCCGTGTGCAGCCCTCGATGAGCTGTGGGCTGTCAGCGGTGCAGCCGGGGTCCGTTCCGCGGGGCTGCTGTGAGATCCGTGCAGATTGGTCTGATCTGTGGATCGGTGCAAATTGGTGCTGGCCTCCTGGTGCTGGGAGCTTTCCGGGGACGCTGCTTGCACTGCGCCTGGTTCCCCTTTTGTGATCGGAGGAGCGGTGAGGTGTGCTGTGTGATGCATTTCCAGATGCTCAGCGCTGCAAGAGGTGCGGAGGTGGTGCTGTCATTGATGGCCAACTTAGGGCTTGTAGGCTGCTTTAGAAAGGCTTTCTTTCAACCATTTTGTTCAAAAGCATTAGTAACTAAAACTAAACTAAAAGAGGGGAGGTGTAGACCATATCTACTAGCTAGAGATATCAGGGATAGGTTACACTGAGAGGGCAGTGAGGTGCTGGCACAGCTGCCTGGAGAGCCGTGGGTGCCCCATCCCTGGAGGTGCTCAAGGCCAGGCTGGATGTGGCCCTGGGCAGCTGAGCTGGTGCCTCGCTGAGTGGCTGACAGCCTTGTCTGAGTCAGGGAGTTGGAACTAAATGGTCTGTGATGCTCCTTCCAACCCAAGCCACACTGCGATTTTGGGATTGTAGATGTACTGTGCTGCTAGTAGGGCTTCTTTAACCATTTTCTTCAAGCACACTCAGATGCTTAGACCAGAAACACTTTGCTTTTTCCCCGTATTTTCTTCTCTTCCCAGATGCCATCAAAGCATCTGTGCTTTGCTCAGCCCCCTGCTGGATTTGCAAACAGCCTGTGTCAGCGCAGGGCACTGACCCTGAAATGAGTCAGGATGCAGATGGCTTTGCCTTTTATTGCAAAGGCTTTGGGCAGCAGTGTGCAATGCTTCTGGGGCAGGGCAGGTTGTGCTGGACCAATTCTAGAGCTCAGGCTTGTTAAGTTGCACTGGAAAAGGCTGTTTGTCCCAGAGCCAGGCTGAACATTGGTACTAATTACAGCCTGCTTATCAATAACTGACACTTTTGAGATGCTGTGGCTCAGAGATGCTTAGAAGGAGACAAGCTAATAGAGAGAATGCAGAACAATGATGCTTTTCTCTCAGATTATTTCATCCTTAATTAGTGAGTCGTTCATTGTTTAATATAATTTATTCTATTAAGAGGAACAATGAATGTTATTCTGTGTCCAGACTCTCTTATTTGCTGTCTTGTTCTCTTAATTGGTGATCGAGCCAAAGAATATTTACTGGTGGGTTCCTGATTGGTTTATAATGAAGGGGTAAAGCACTCCTGACTCTCCAGCCTGGCAAGCACTCTTTGTGTCTGTGACTCTAAGCTTTTGTTCCTCGAACTGTCATACTGATGCTCTACCTGTCAGCAACATCTTAGTCCTGGGACTGGAAGTGGTGCCCTGGGGCTCCTTACTTTACAGCTGATCAGACTCACGGCAAGTTACTTCTTGGTGGGTGATAAATCAAAGGATGTCCTGTCTGCTCTGCCTTCCCTAACTACTGGGGAATCATCCAATTAGTAATGCTTAATAAGAGGAGCACCGATTGTATGGTGTTCACAAAAAAGCTACCCAATAAATGCTGGGCTTACCTTTAAATTGTAGGTGTGTTTTGAGAGTTGCTTTCCCATGGCAGAATCCCTGGACTTCCTTTGTCTTTGTTTTGCAGGTGGTGGTTCCAACCCATTCCAGCACCTGGAGAAGAGCGCAGTCCTGCAAGAGGTATATCCTTAGAAGCTGCCCTTTCTGGGTTGGGGTGTCCCCAACTCCTGAGTAGATCAGTGAGGAATTTTAGTGGGGAAGCAGGGCTTTGTTGTGGTCCTACTGGCACCTGAAGTACGGCAATGCCCCCACTAGTTCTTGTTTTATTGCTGGAGGGAAGAAGGGAGAGGGCTGAAATGATCTCTGTAACGAAATAGACTCTAAATGGTGAGTAGTAATATAGAATGTGACTTTCTGGAAAGGTCACCTTAGAACAGAAAAGTTGGGAAATCGGCTTTGAACACCCTGAGCTTGTAGATTTCAAAGCCAGAGAGCAGGCTGTGTGTGGTTATTGAACAGACTCTGATTTTACTCTGAAATAAAACCCTTTTTGTTTGACATCAGACAAACTTCTCAGTCCCCAGACCCTGTTATTTCAGCGTTATCTGTTCGTTTGCCATATGATGGATGGTGTTGGTTCCTGTTAGCCTTGCAGGCTGTCAGAAGGGTGGTATTTTAGCTAGCACACGATCCAAGCTTGTGTGGGTGAAAGTATGAGGAGGATTTAACCCTTAAACTTTCATTGTGCTTGCATTTGCAGTCTCAGGATGAGACTGTAGAACCATCTGCTTAAAAGGGGGCCTTGCTTAGCAGGAATTGGAGGGAATCTTATCCAAAGTCATTAAGTGCATTTTGCCATACCTCACCAACAGTTTGTTGTTTATATCAGGCTAGGGAGGGCAGTGTTTATTAGGGAGTGTTGATATTAGCATCCTTGGCTGTGATTTGTTTTCAGGCACGTGTGTTTAATGAGACTCCCATAAACCCACGAAAATGTGCTCACATCCTCACCAAGATTCTGTACCTCATAAACCAGGTAAGGGACTAAAAATCAGCTGATACGTTCTTTAGATTCTTAGTTTTCCCTAGCTAAGCTTTATCTTCTGAATAGTTTTATTGACTACATCCAATAAAAATATTTTAATTAGAACAGTTTTTGTGCTACTAAGCTTCTACTTGCCTTCTTAGTGTCTAAAAACGTTCTGTGGGGTAGAGAGGGTAGGAGCAGCTAAATATGAAGAGATTGATGTCTGTGATTTATTATTACTTGGAAGCTGTAAGCCTGCAGCTCTTTGATGCCAGAGACAGTTGTTACTCCAGGCCCTTGGGTCTCTGAAGCTGCGTGCAATAAGGTTCAGCTTTGTAAAGGTATTTACCCATCTTGTGGGGTTTCCCTTCCCTAGGGTCTCTGTGCACCATTATATGCAGTGGCTGTAGCTGGCTGACTAGCTGTGGTGCTTATAGGAAGCTTGGCATAAGCTTTTCTTACACAAGTCATGGAGTTGTTCCAACCTGTTCTGCACCCCTAAAGAATCTGTCTTGTCACAAGTTTTTGGTTTTTTTTTGTAACCTGATAAATCATGCTGTCATCTACATTGACAGGTAAGCAACGTTCAGCCATGGCTGGGGGCTTTCTCAGGCAGGACTTTACTCTGTTCAAGTACACTGAAGGAGATCTGCCTTCTCTCAACCACACAAGCCTGTTCTCCTTATATATGAGACTGAGCCTTGCACCTGCAGCAGGACAGATCTGGTTGTGTTAACTGTGATTTCCTTTCTTCTTTTCAAACTTCTAGGGGGAGCACCTTGGTGTCATGGAAGCTACCGAATCCTTCTTTGCCATGACAAAGCTGTTTCAGTCCAACGATGTAAGTCAGTTTATTGTTTTCTGCTGTATTTATCCAGTGAGACGAGTTGTCAGCAGTGTCTTTTTCAGCCTCAAGGTGTCATTTTATGTAATCAGCCTGCCTGGAGCTACTGGTCTAAGTGGAAATAGTAGGATGAAAGTTTAGAAACAGATCAGCTTCACTACCTTGCTCTTGTAGCAGCTAAACTAAAGCAGTCTTTGTTCCTGAAACATAGATTCTTCCTCTGAACTGCTATCTAAC